CATTGGAACTTTTCCCTTAAATACCACATTCTAAAGTACTTACTTTTGATAGTAGGGAAACTGTTGGTTACTTAGAAATCTCTGACTCTGAGTGAAATATGTGATAAGTAAGACAATCGGTCTGCCTAGATTTTTTTATATGGGGGAGGCACGACTCTTTATGTGGATTAATTTTGGCTTATCCTGACTAAACACCAGACTGACAGACATCCTGAGGTGTTTGTGAGCTGAAATGATTCTTTGATTCTTCCCCCTAAACATTGGCTTAAAGGACATTGTCAGAAGTCCAAATCTCTTATTTAAAGTGCATCAGAGAGAAATGCAGCTGGATATAAGCAATGTGTATATGTAGAATAACAATGTAAATATTTTATAGACTGCAGCACAACAGAATTAAATACTTTTGCTTAGACAAATGAATTCCATCTTCAAAGCCACTGCAAAGAAGCTTATGTATTGGGCATAATAATTCTCTTCACACAGCTCTACATTCCTCCAAAATCTTAGCACCTCTCAGCACTGTTGGGAGCAGCCTTACCTATTGTTCTTAGGGAACTATCTTGTCTCTTGGCAGCTTCATAGATTATGCAACTCGTCTATTTCAGCAGTTAACACATTGAGTTAGAGGTGTCTGTTTCTTCTGAGCTGGGAAGCCTCTATCCTGCCTCTACTCAGAATGCCCAGCTATTCCCCAACGAAGAGGGATAACCCATTTGACTATGACCCAAATCCTAAATTTCCAGCATCAACACCTTCCTCTGACCAACTCCAATAGTTATCCTTAGAGTTCATTTTCCAGTCCTCCCTTCAGACAGTGATCCATGGTGCTCTCAGTTCTCAGATGTGAGAGTGTCCCAGAGACCAAAAACTGGCAAGAAGTTAAGATTGACCACTGTGGCCACTCTCACCACTCCTATTCAGTGAGGTAGTAGAAGTCCTAGTCAGAACAATCAGGTAAGAAAAGGGAGTAAAAGGCATCCGATGGAAGAATTCAAAGTGTCTGTTTTCAGTGATATGATCTTATATATAGAAAACCTTAAAGATGCCACAAAATAATCCGTTAGGGTAAACTAGTTTAGTAAAGTTTCAGCACACAAACTCTACATTTAAAAAACAATTGCATTTTGATACACTAAAAACATTCACAATAGTATCAAAAATAAATACTTAGGAATAAATTTAACCAAAGAAGTGAAAAACCTATATAGTATGAGGATGATGAAAGAAATTGGAAAAGACACAAATAAAGGGAAAGATAGTCTATGTCCATGGATTGGAAGAATATTGTCAAAATGCCCATACTACCCTAAGCCATCTATATTCAATGAAATTTTTCAATGAAAATTCCAATGAATTTTTTTTCACAAATAGAACAAATAATCATAAAATTTGTATAGAATCATAAAAGACCCTAAATAACCAAAGAAATCATGAAGAGAAAACAAAACTGGAGATACCACACTGCCTGATTTCAAACTATATTGCAAAGCCATAATAATCAAGGCAGAATGGTACTGGCATAAACAGGGACACAAAGACCAATGGAACAGAATCAACGGACCAGAAATGAACACATTTACATAATTTACATTTATGTCAACTAATACTCCACAAAGGAGCCAAATATACACTATGGAGAAAAGACAGTCTAGTCAGTCAGTGGTGGTGGAGAGGTCAGATATTCACATGCAGAAGAGTGAAAGTAGACCCTTATCTTATACCACTCACAAAAATGAATTCATTTTGAAGGGTTGAAGGGTTAAAGTGCAACACTATGGAGCTCTCCACAGCTGCCATAGCAGGAGCTCGGTCCCCCAGCCAGGGATCTGACCCACATGGCACAGCAGACCCCTCCTGGCCCGCCCACTGCTCCAGTGTATTTCACTCAATCCACCTGTTCTGCTTCCCACTCTGTCTCTGGTGAAACCTCCCTCTTCACTTCTGGCCTACACCCCAGCTCTTAATACATAAATAAGTAAAAACAAATCTTTAAAAAACTAAAACACAAGCAATAAAATACAAAATAGATAAGCACAACTACATAAACTAAACAAACAACTTTTGCCTAGCAAAAGAAGTAAAAGCAAAAGACAATCTACAGCATGTAAAAGTACATGCCAGTCCTGATATATATCTGTTGAATCCAAACTCACACAAATTAGTGGCAAAAAAACAAAACAGTTCAATTTAAAAATAGGCAGAGAACGTAAATAGGGATTTTTCCACAGAAGGCATATAGTTACACAAAAAAAGTGCTGTGCAGCACTAGTCATCAGGTAAATGCAAATCAAAGCCATCACAAACCCTTGTTTCACATCAGTTCAAATGGTTATTTCAAAAAAGCAAGGCGTGACAGTGTTGGTGAGGATGTGGACCAAAGGAAGCCTTGGGCACTATTGGTGGGGATACAGATTCGTGCAGCCGCTGTGGAAAACAATATGGAGATTCCTCAACACATTAAAAATTGAGCTGCCATATTGATTCAGCAACTCCACTTGTGGGTATGTATCTGAAGGAAATAAAATCATGCTGTTAGAAGAGATCTACATCCCTCTGTCCACTGAATCTTTATTTGAAATAACCAAGACATGGAGATACCCAAGTGTCCATCAATGAATAAATAGATAAGAAATTTATCTCTTTCTCTGGACAGTGAAATATCATTCTGCTATAGGGTAAACACATTGTGGGCTCTAATAGACAGCAAGTGACTATAGGCAATAATACCATATAGTGTTCTTACAGTTACTAATCTTAAAATTCTCTCTCTCTCTCTCTCTTTCTCTCTCTCTCACACACACACACACACATACAGGTAATTGAATTAGATGATAGATGTTAGCTAATCTTACTGTGGTGAATGTTTTGCAATATATATCTATGTCAAATGGTCACTCTGTATACTTTAAATTTACACCATGTTGTATGTCAATTATATCTAAATAAATCTGGGGAGGGAAAGGGGAACATGACTGACAAAGCTCATGTTCTGTGTCCCATATTCTCACCTCAGACTCTTCCTCTCAGTTCTTGTCCAATTGTGCGTCTACATTTTTAATCCTTTCTGACATGACCTCCTCTTTAATCTCCTGCTCTCAGAAAACACTCTTGCCTTTCACTTAACAGGTAAAAAGAGAGTCCTCTGCAGAGAAGCTCCCATCCTTCTCTGATACCCAAGAGTTGCTCCATCTCATCTGTGCCATCTCCTACCTGAAGACATGGCTGTCGCTGGGCTTCACATCCTCTGCTCTGAGGAGACTTCACCAGGGACCACACCGTCTCCTTGCACTTTAAGTCTGTTCTTAAGTAGCGGATCTTTCTAAAGCTTTCCCTCTCTGTTTTGTAAAAACGCCAGCCTTGACAAGGGAAGCTGTCTCCAGATTCACACACCTGTGCTCTACAGATGCAGGTTCTGTAGTTGATTAGCTCCTGATGACTCTTCCAACACACTTGTGGGCTGTTGTTGTACATGGTCCTTATGAGGTATTGAAAAGACACAAATTAATATTTATAAAACAGGTTTAAGATATTAAACCATTCAATGAACCATCATGGAGCTACCTTTAGGCTTAATGAAGAAAACATAACATTATCTTGGATGCCCTCAGGGGTCTCAGTGTCTCAGCTTCTTCCTTGCCCCCTGCTCACACCCAACTCTGCTAGAGGAAAACATTCTCAACCTTGAGCGTCATTGTCTTGCCTTTCAGAATAACATCACTACATTTATCCAATACCCCTATGTAATACATTATATTATGGGCTCTTCAAATTTATATAATGACATCTCACAAAATCTGGATCCTTTGGCACTCACTGCTATTTTTAGTCTACATGATGTTCCTAGAATTCAACCATGTTTCAGGGCTGTGTAGTATTTAATTGCCTGAATATATAGCAATGTACTTATGCACTCAGCGTTGATGCCTATTTAGGTTATTTTCAATTTGTTTGTGTTGCGTCCAACCCTCCCCCTTCTGCCCGTCCTCCCCCATCTCCCAGCATAAAGCAGCAAGGGCAGCTTTAAGGGCCAGACCTAGGAATGCAGAGCTGGGTCATCAGGCACACCTGATTTGTAGTTTTTCAAGATAATGTCAAATGAGTTTCCCAAGGTGACTCATCAATTTACACTCCCATAAGCAGTATTTATGGCATGACATCTACCATCGTCACTTGCTACTGCCCTCATTTTAACCGTTTCATACCATTGGAAAAGTATGAAGTGATATTTCACTGTATTTATTTTTAGTTTCATTCTTTTGAATTGTGATGAAATGCACATAAAATCCTTCATTTTACTTGTTTTTATTGTACAGCTCAGTGATGTTGAGTGCATCCATTTCCTGCTCGCAAAACTGAAAGTCTGTCCCTGTGAAGCACCAGCTACTTTTGCTCCTATCCCTGGTCCTGGCAGCCACCACTCTTCCTGCTGTCTGTGAACCCGGGACCTCTTCTCGGTGGAATCAGACCATCTATATCTTTTTGTGACTGGCTTACTTTATTAGCGTCACCACGTCAAGTTCATGCATGTTGTAGCATGTGTCAAATTCTCGTCCCTTAAAACTAATTAAATTCCACTGTATGTATTGGCCACCTTTTGCTTATCTGTTCATCTATTAACTGCTACTGGGGTTGCTCCCACGTGCTGGTTATTGAAAACAATGCTGTTATAAACACGGTTATACAAAATCTTTTTGAGATTCTATTTTCAATTTCTTGGGGATAACACACAGAAGTGAAATTGCTGGATCACATGGGAATTCCATTTTTAATTGTTTTTAAAGATTTATTTATGTATGCATACACAACTGGGGTACAGACCAGAGATGTGGAGGGTGAGAGGCTTCCCCAGAGACAGAGCGGGGAGCAGAACAGGCAGATGGACGAAGTACACTGCTGAGGGGAGCAGCGGGCGGGTCAGGAGAGGTCTGCCGCGCCATGTGGATCTCCTCCCGGGCAGGCGGGAACTGAACTCATGCGGAAGTGGCTTAAGCTTCTTAGTGCTGTGCTTGAACCCGCTGCGCCACCAGGGAGGGCCCACCATTTGTAATTTTTTAATAAGCTGCACACTATTTCCATGGCCACTGTGCCACCTTGTGCTCCCTCCAGTTGTAAGCCTGACATCCTCACCAAGTTATTTTCTGATTTGGCTGTGATTTGTGGTTTGGTTTTGTCTAGAACCATCCTACTGGATGTGAGGTAGGATACCTCACTGCATATTAACTTCTATTTTTCTGGTTACTAGTGAAGTAAAGATCTTTTACAAATGACCATACTCTTAGCATGGATCTGCAAGGCTTTGTACATTTTACTTTAGCTGTCCTGTACTCATTGATTTGTGAGAGTTTTTTCCATAGGTTAGATGCTAACCCAATTCCATTTTATAAAGTTCTTCTTCCAGTTTGTGGCTTAATTCACTTTCTTCATTCTGTATTTTTTATAGACTGAAGTTCTTAATTTTAAAATAAACTACCTAATGAATATTTTTCCTTGTAATTTATAGCTCTGAATTGTTTAAGAAAATGTTGCCTACCAAAGAGGGGGGAAAATGCAGTAGCTTAAATTGTCTCAAAGTCTTGTTGTTTTAATACATATCTAAGTCGTTGATCTATCTGCGGTAATGTTTTATGATATGAGATAGTAACCCAGTCTCATTTTTATGCATATGTATATTATGTTCTCCAAGTGATTCTAATTTAAAATACCTTATTTCCTCCATTGAGCTACTGTGAAATTCTGTTATACATCAAGCATAATGTATGTGTTTGGTATGGGCTCCCTTTTCTGAGTTACTGATTTATCTTTTCTATACTTTAGCCATTCCAGTACTATAAATATTTAATTGCTGTAGTTTCATATCCATTCTTAGTAGCTTTTCTTCATCAGTAGTTTCCTGGCTTTTCTTGTCTTTTGCTGGTTCATATCCATGATGTCAGATTCTATCAAAATAAAAACAAAAAAATTTCAACACTTTCATTTGAATCTAAAGATCAACTCTGGAAAAATGGACATGTTGGTGATGATCGCACTCATTCACAATACCTTCATTTATTGAGGTATTCCCTAATTTCTTTCCCAAAAGTTGTATATATTTTAATCATCGAGGTCATCATTTTATCAGATTAATTTGTAGCTACCGTACATGTTTATACTACTGCAGCTAGATTTTTAAATATATAATTTCTAACTATTGCTGAAACAGAAATGCAATTGATTTTTTATATTGACTTCCATTCGGCAAACTTGCTACATTCTCATTTATGTTCTCCAGATTGAAAACAACGCATCTGCAAATGATAACGGTTTTATTTTTTCCTTTGAAAATTATACATTTCTCACTTCCTTCTCCTGCATTACTGTGCTATCTAATTTGCCAGTATTAAGTTAACTGAAAATGGTAATTGGGAATGAGGTTGATTTTAATATCACTCTATAAAATATAATACTTATTTTAAATTATATATATGTATATATATATACGCACACACAGAAAGAAAAATATGTATATATGTAAATGTATGTATGTGTGTTTCTTAGTTACTTAACATAGTTTCTTAACAGATTAAAGAAATGTTACTTCTAATCTTAGTTTTCTAAGTTTTTTCTACATTAATGTATGCTGAATTTTATCAATTTTTGCATCTTTTAAGATATTGTATTTCCTCTTTGAATCTGTTTATTTGGTGGATCTAATTTTCTTTCTTATCAAACAACCCTTGGTACTCTTTAGATAAGCCTACTTTTTGGTTTAGTCGTGCTAGTTTGTTTAGAAGGTTTGTATTTATATTTATGAATGCGATTAGCTTGTAACTGCCCTTTCTTATTCAGTCCTTGTCAAAGTGAGGTGTCATGGTCACCTCAGCCTCATAAAGAGTTAGAGAGTCTTTAGTTTTTCATTAATTTGGCATATCATTAATGTCATTTAACATCTTATTAATATTTTTATGAGATTGGAAATCTTATAAAATAATGTCATTTGTTGCAACAAGGATGGAGTTAGAAGGGATTATCTCAGATATAAGTCAGAAGGAAAAAGAAAAATATCAGATGTCTTCACTTATAGGAGGAATACAGAGGAACCAAATAAGGTTCAGGAAAAAAAATAGTAACAATTAAAAAAATACAACAAAACTAAATTTTGATTGAGTTTATTGGAAAAATTGATTAAATTGATGTTTTCTCTATGGGAAAATGTTAACTATTAATTTGATTATCACATTATCCTTCAGCATCTGTGCAACTTTCCTTGGGATTGGACTTGCTGATGGGAGTGCAAACTAGTCCAACCATGATGGAAATTTGTGTTGAGGTTCCTCAGATTACTAAAAGTGGAGCTTCCATTTGAACCAGCAATTCCACTCCTAGGGATCTACCCAAGGGACACAAAAACATTAGGGTGTATGAACCCCTATGTTTATTGCAGGTCTATATATAATAGGTAAGATGCAGAAACAACCCAAATGCCCAAAAATTGATGACTGGATCAAGAAGCTGTGGTACATATGCACAAAGGAATACTATCAGAAAAAAAAATAAAGATAATCTAATGTCATTTGTTGCAACATGGATGGAGTTAGAAGGGATTATCTCAGTGAAATAAACCAGAAGGAAAAAGAAAAATACCAGATGGCTTCATTTATAGGAGGAATATAGGGGAACCAAATAAGGTTCAGGAAAAAAAAATAGTAACAATTAAAAAAAATACAACAAAAATAATCATCTATAAATCAGAGGTATTCTGCAGTGAGGGTTCAAAACAAAGGTGGGAAGAGTACAAAGGATAGTGAACTGGTGGTGAATATTCTACAGGTAGAGAATATTCTACAGGAATATTCTACACCCAATGTAAAATACATACAAATAGAGAAATTAAATATTAAAAATAAATTTACTTCTCCTTCCGTTTAGCCTTGCAGTGTATCCTTTTGGGTTCTAGCATTAATCAAGGACAACGTTTCATATCCAACTTCCCCCATGTGGTGAGACTAAGTTGTTGACTCCTTTCCCCCAAGGTCAGCCCTTGTCTGCCAAGATCTAAGTCCAGGTTTATGTAGGCCAAGAATTACTCTCAAAGCAACTTTGGAGCTCGGCTTCTCTCCGTTTTTTATTTTTCCTTAGATCTTCCCCAGTGTTGATTACTATCTAGTTTTGCTTTTCAGGACACATTTTTATATATTATAGCTAAAATTTTAATCATATTTAATGGAAACGTTGGTTCAAATAACCTAACATGCCACAGAAATTGAAATTAATCATCATTTCTTTTCTCACTACTGCCTGAAGAACAGAATAAATGAATTCTTAAGTGTCCTTTCAGGAAGACTATTGCTCTGGAAATTGATTCTGTGCAGAAGATCTCTCTCAAAGGAGGAAAGAAGATGAATACGAAGTAGATTAGAAAGTCTTGATCTTGAATTTGGTCTTACAATATCCGTGTCATTAATAGGCATCAAAAGAAGAGAAGAAAGTATAAACAAAGGAAGAAAGGAAGGAGTGAAGGACTGAAGAAGAAGCAGAAGTAGCCACAATCACAAGGGGATAGTCATCTCCCGCTCTAAAGTATGATAGAGATTGCAGATGAGAACCAAGTCTCACGCTCTTAAGCCATATTGGGTGCTAAAAGTCAATCTCAATTTCTCAATAAAGGATCCATATCACAATTCTCTCCTGGTATTCTGATTAAATGTTTGGAAAGTATTTATGTAAAACTTACTAAATGTACTTGCAAATCTAAAATGACTTAAATTGCAGCTATGAAATAAAGGCAAGGTAGATGGAAGAATTTCCTGGATGTGGGTATTGTCAAACCAGAAACACAAACATTTGGTGATATCTCCTCTGCAGAAGGTATTTAAGCTTTTCCATGGTCCTATGGTCCTTCCCCTTGATGGAATAAAATCAATGTTCTCCAGCAGGAAAAATGGGGTTGGGCAAGGTGCCCCTCGAGTTTCATTCCGACCTAACAATTCTAGTAATCTAACTCTTTGGAAATCAATGACTGAGCCTCAATTTGGGTCAAAAGGAAATCTTCCTAAGAGGTTATGGGATTGTTTTTAATAGCTATGGGTAATGGAGGAAACCCCTAACATTGCCAGCTCAAATTTCATTGTCACCAAGGCTGTTGCACCAAAATGGCATTTTACAGAGTCTTCAGGCAGTGCCTATTTGAAAAATTTGCCAAAATCAGCTTACATCCTGAGATTTCTGAGCTCTTTAGATCTCTGTGTTTACTTTATTATAATAATATTATGTTCCCTTTGCATATTTTTGCTGGCATTCTTTTTGGCATCATTTCTTCATCCATCACTGCTTGAGTCTGCAGTTGTGGGTGGAAGGGTTTGACTTTGATCAATGGGTTCTTTCTGCAAAAGGGCCAGGCTTGGTCACAATGTGTTTGAACACCTGGAATGTATCTTTTCTCTGGAGAACAGAAGACTTCACTGCCAGCATGTTAGAATTTCACTGCTACAAATAAGCTTCACAAGTCTTTGAGATGGAGACTTGACTTTGTAGAAACCTGTAAAATGTGCATTCAACGGAGACCTTAACACCTTGTTTAGGTCTGGTAAAATCTACGGTGTGGGTGTCCCAGCCTCCCCCCTCTATCTTATCAAACCTGTCTGGTACTCCACAGTCAAATCAAAGTCCCTGAAGGAGTCCCACATTAGTCCCATTCCCAGTGAAGTGTATCTCTTGGTTATCATCCATCCAGTCTGACTCTTTACCCGGCGGCTTGCCCCTCCACCATCCCCACTCCACACAGGTTGCTTATTTCACTCCTAACCCCACGTCAAGTTCATTTTCCTTTCCCGACTTTGCCCCTGTGTTTTTGAAAGAGATAGAATCTGATCCAGGGTACCTTGATCCCTTCTCCTCTCCACCTCCCACCAGCTCACTACTGCTCCCTTCTTCATTTCTACCAGAGCTGCCCTATGCTCATCCTTAGTTTTCCTTGTCAGTGCTTCAAAGGCACCAGTCTGCAGAAGACTGAAATCAGTATTTTCCCCCTTTATACCGCTGTTCACTGTTGAACAGCACTTGATCTCTCCCCTCGGTGGAGTCCCTGAAGCTCCCCACCACCACAGCACCCATGACCCATCTCCAAGTCCCTGGTTGACCTCACCTCCCGCCCCCTCACTGCTGAAGACCTCAGATCTATGGTCAGTTTGCAAGTTTTGTCTTTTCCCTTACCCTTTGTTAGGTTTCCCTATATCCCACCTTTAGATGAAACCATTCAATATTTTTCTTTTTCCTTCTGATTTATTCCACTGAGCATATCAAGAGTGGGATCAGTATTACCACTTCCTGCCTTCTCTTTGCCATCCCCATTCCTCAGCTATAATCATAATAGCAGCAACAGTTAAGTGTTTGAATGATTTCTTTTAATCCTTTCCACTTTTTCTGACGAAGAAAGCAAGATTCAATCATTTGAAAAACAAGATTCAATCATTTGACCGAAGAGATTCTAATTCAGAAATATCTGTCTCCAAAGCAATATATTGTATGACTTTCTCTTTTTCTTTTTTGATGACAGCAGAATTTTACTTACTTCCATCCCTTTTCTGTTCTTTTTTCCCCCAAGTGTTCCTATTTGACAACTTAATTATTTCAGTTGTGAAGTGATTTTTTTTTTCCACAAATGGGTCAAAATAGTGCGACATATAGGCAACAGGGAAAAACTGGACTTTGGGTTCGATCAAGTGATTGGGAATATTCAGATACAGTAATGACACCATTTTTTTTTTTTCTTAAAGAGTTCTTTTTTTTAGAGATAAAGACAGAAGTATGGATGACTGCAATGATATGAAGTCTGGGATTTGCTTCAATGAAACCTGGTGAAATTGAAGGTCAGGAGACTAGAGTGAATAGAGGCACAACTGAAGAAAGTCTGACTTGAGAACTTTCGAAGCTCTATGATGGGTGCAGGGGGTTCATCATATTGTTAGCTTCTACTTTGTGTATATTTAACAATTTCCAGAATAAAGCATTTTCTAAAATCTCAAATACACAAGACTCAAGTCTCAGTATCGTCCCCACCTTACCAAAGCCCCCAGGTCTCCCCTATGGCATTCTGGGAGCTTTTCTTCTTGCCTTCTTACCTGCTGGGTTATTCCAGACTCCACGCCAGCACAGCACCGCACTGTCTCAGCCCCCGCAGCTGGCATTGGAACAGAAATCTCTTCCTGACCCCAGATGGCATCACAGCTTCCTCGGTCTGCTCTTGTCAGCATATTTTTTCCAGGCACCTGATTCCTGGGTATGGCAGCAATAAAACCAACCAACGAGATCATTTGGCTGTCCCCCTGAGAAGGTATTTCCCATTCTGACACCGTCAGCCCTCTGAATGTGCAGTTTCCAAGAACTCCCAAATAACAGCCGGCTCAGAACTTCACAGCCTGCTGTACCTGCTGTTAGATTGCTGGTCAGGGTGCTCCTCAGGGGTGAGAGCCCCCAGGGCAGAGGATACATGTATCACTGGTTATTAATAGGAGAGCTGGTGCAAAGAAGCAATTGTCTAGCTTGCATTTTATTGGGAAGCTGGGAGAGAAGAAAAGCAAAGACCGAGCCCATGGGAGGTTTATGTGCTGGGCTGTTGGTCACACCATATGGACTCCTTAGGTTAACTGTGTATCAAAGACTGGAGCAAAAGATAAAGAGCTGAGTTAGTCCAGGCTTGATGATTTCATAAGGAACAAAGACAAAAAGACAAGCTAGGTCATTCAAGAGAAGAGTTGCATAAAGAGCTGAGCTTGTGACCTTGGGGGGCGTTTCTGACAAAGTGTGTCATGCGTGGTCTTTGAGGATCTGTGGGTGTTTCCTACTACGTCACAAATTGCTCGGATATCTTGGGGAAAGATCTCCTCGCATTTGGTTATAGTTGACTCATGAGGTCACAAAATCCTAATTTCTTTCATTCTATACTGACATTCTTAGGGTTTGCCTGACCATTGGGTTTAATAGTCTCTGCTTTTTAGAAAATGTTTTATTTTGGAAATCTTCAAACACTTTTCCCTAAGACAGGACTGCCCTTGGTTCCAGCCCTTGCACCACCTCCTACTTCCACGCTTCTTCCAAGCTCTCCTCTCACATGAGTCAGGAGAATATTATTAGATTCTTGATCTTGATCCCTACCACCAGTGTCTTAGGCATGACAATCAGAGATGGAGAACTGTCAGAGAGAACATCTGCCAGGGCCCTGAACAGAGCCATTGGGACACAGAGCCTGAGATCCTGAGTACCATCTGTGTTGCAATGGTGAGACCTCCCTTCTCTTTAATATCGGGTTCTGCTGAGCTCACTGTAAGATGGGAATGATAAAAACTTCCGGGGTTACATAGGAGATATCATTCACATTAGAACATTCTACAGGTAGAAAGGAAAAGTGAAGGCTCAGCTACAAGCCCTTTATCGTGCTTACTGGAAGATCTCAAAGAATGGGAGCTACCACAGAGCACAGTTTATTGTTTGCTTGCTTGCTGCCCTGGGGGAAGGACATAATGTTTATGAACATTAGAATGCCACCCATCCATGGGGAGGGTTGTAGACTGTATACTCCATATGCTGCAGCCAAAAATTATAAAGACTTTTCTTCATCCCATCTGTATGAAGTAGAGTTATTAGAAATGAAGATAAAAAGCAAACAACGATCAAATGGAAAATACTTACAGCACACCTAATGGATAATGCAGGAATATTAAAGAACTCAAGATTCAGAAAAGATACAAATAACCCAAGTAAGTTATCCAAAAAGATAGAAGAGGAAACTCATAAGGATAATAACCTGAGATTCATTTGCTTAACTCAAAGTTTGCATGCTAAGGGTTACTGTTTAAGGGGAGCGGACAAGCCCCGGACAGCAGAGGGGAGAAAAGAGGAAGAAGGACGCAAAGCCTTTACCTGTACTCCTCTTCTGCTCCGCCTATAGCCTGAGATCCTGAGCACCATCTGTGTTGCAATTTGACTTCGCCAAGTCTTTGTCTTTCACCTCTGCAAATGTCTATGCCAATCCAGCCATGGATGAGCGTTCCTTAGAGTGGATGAGCTTCCTTCATTCTGATCCACCCACCTGCTGCCACCCCCAGCAGCAGTATTTTCTACCTGGGTCCAGTGTCCCTGTCCCTCCAATATATTCGTTGAACTCCTTGTTCACCTCTTTGCTTTAAGAATGCTTACCTAGTAATTGTCTGTTTACTTTTCTGCTCTGCCCATCATGTAACATATGCACACACACACACACACACACACATACTTGTATTTCCTTTACAGACAGAGGTCATTCCTTATGATGAGTTTCATATTCTTAATTGTCTACCCAAGTGGTATTTGTTGTTACTGAGTGCATGTGTAATTTACCCCCTAGACACTTTGGAAAAAAGGGAAGAGAAAGGTTTTAGGTTTGCTCTGGAGAGTTTTCCCCAGGTGGAGGAGCTGTGGCCATTTGCTTTGTGAAAGAAGGTCCAGGGGGACTTGGTGCCCACCCAGAGTTACGGGGATGGGCACTGGAATATGGCAATAAAAGAATTGCCACAGTTTCTTCATGCACTTTCTTTATAAAATTAAAAACACAGCCACAAATGAAAAAGGACTCACATCATTGAAGCACAAAACTTTGCCTCGAGGTGGAAGTTATGCATTTCTGCATGTGGTATATACACATTGCTTTACGTTATTTAAGGAGATGAAATAAAATATAGCCATGTACCTCTAATTACTTGTGAAGTAGCCTGGAATGATCCACAAGGGAAAAGATGTTTTGCAAATCATTGATCCACATTAAGCATCTTGTCAGTTGATAAAGTATCTTGTACACCGTGGAAGAGCAGGGTAGCATCCTCTCTCCTTGCAGAGCAGCAGGGGATTCGTTTTGAGAATAGCTTTTTCTTTTCCAGCTTTCCCTGCAATATTCTTTATCAATTATCCCATCAAACCAAGTGGGGCTGAACTACAGTCCATCAAAACCTTATTTGAAGTTGCATTTGTCAAAATGGAGAGACAGTGTAGCCTCTGAGAAAATATAGAAACCTCTGCCTTCTTCTTTCAAACAATTTTCTCCTTCACTTCTTTTCTTTTTCCCAAGGTAGCCAACTAATGAGTGAGGAGATGTGTTTTTCCGTCCAAACCCTACACTATCCCCAGGGACTGCCTTCTTTTTGCACACAGCTGGAGAATTGCTGAAGTTTGGAAATGAACAGCAAGGAAGCCTGAATGGCACATCCGTGACAGGCATCTCACTGGGCGGCTGTCCCTTGCCCTCCATCTCCAGCCAGAATGCACCATGGTGCAGGTGTTTCCATGAAGTGCAGTCTGCACATGAGCAGCCTAAGCGTTGTGGGAAATGCAGAATCTCAGGCCCAAACACAGATCTACCAAATCAGAATCTGCCTTTCAGAAAAACCCCCAGGTGGGTCATACCTATGTAGATGTGGGAAGCACGGACCCAGGGCATGCTCTAAAGAGTGGGACAGCTGGGTTGCAGCCCTGAACCACACCATCCTGTCATTCTGGCACTTATGAACGTGGGGAGGTTCCTCAGTTTATCCATCTTTAAGATAGGAAGATTCTCTCTCTCACAGCACTATGAAATAAGGAACATAAATGAGAAAGTACATGTAAAGTGCTTAATATGGTGTCTGGCACATAACAACCTTTTTAAGTAAAGATGATGATGGTGGTGATTGTGGTGGTGATGATGGCAGTGGTGATGTTGATGGTAATGATGTTGGTGGTGATGATGGTGGTGATGTTGATGGTGGTGATGATGGTGGTGGTGATGCTGCTGGTGGTGGTAATGATGGTGATGATGGTATTGGTGATGGTAGTGATGATGATGGTGGTGGTGATGGTGGGGGTGATGGTGGTGGTGATATTGATGATGGTGGTGATGTTGATAACAGTAGTGTTGTTGATGGTGGTGATGGTGATGATGATAATCTATTATACTGCAGTCTTATCCAGAGGAGCATCAACGAGGTTTACCTGGTGAGCAGTAGAATCAAAACCAAAGCACATTACTAATGTCTCTTTCCCCTACTTGAAGGGGGAAAATTTTGGTTAAAAACCAAAAAATTTAAAATATATTGTTTAAAAGAAAAGAAGCAAGGTGAAAAGCCTCTGGATAAAAATGAAGATATGAATAGATATTCACAGTCACTTGTATTTGCCTAAAGAAACTCCTGGGGAAGCTTCCCCACGAAATGACTCAGTTATCGCAAGTGGTAGAGAAAACATTGTGCCAGGGATCCCATCCAAGCTCCACCACTTTTTTTTCTGTCTCATCTTTAGCCCTTACTCTACTGAAGCTGTTTCCTTGGTTGGGAAATACCTTTTGCCTACAGTGTTGAACAGAGTCTGTGTGCTTTACATTTTATTGTTACCTCGGCCTGGCCAGCCCTGCAAGGCAAGGGTCACTTGCCCTGAAAAGATAATTTGCTACTCACTGTTCCCCAAACGAAAAGGCGCAGCACCCCAGGGATCCACGGGGCAGATGCCAGGGTATGAGAGGATGGGGAACAGGAAGACAGTGGCAAAAGCCTTCCAGTAGACTCCACAGGAAGGAGGTGGGCAAGGAGAGGATGTGCTCAGGCTTCGGCCTAGCTAATTGGAGTAACTTCAGCTGGCTGGGGTAGCAGTGCCCGGCCTGGAGGTGATTAGGGCAGGTGTTAATGGCTGGGAGCATCTGACAAAGAGGGGTTTGGTGTGGGCACTGGATTGAGGGGGTGCATTTGAAAGGTACATTTCTGAGCTAGTAGTTTACTGTCTAGGAACCCACAAACCTGGGAGAGGAACAGCCTCCAGGTTCTGCCCCAGTGTCAAAGCATCAGAGTATTGGAACTAGCAGACAGGTAAATATTTCCTGGGCCTTTTCAGTAGCATCCGTGCTATGACTTAGCATTAATGTTAAAATAATATTTATTTACCTCTTTCCCTTCAAATTGCCCTTATCCCAGAGTAGAAAGCATTAATATGCAAATAATACCGAATCAAGGATCAAGAGTAAATCTATAAATGCATGGGAGAAATACTGAGCTTTGAGACAGTTCTCTTGTGCTCGTGAAAGGCTCTGCGTCAGATAAACGTCTTCTGGCCACAACACAGTATTTTAAATCAATCATGCCCGATTCTTCATTGACTATTATAAAACATTTACTTCTCACGTGCAGCCCGTCCCTGTTCTTGGGAACACAGAGGCAGCGAGAGAGACGCATATTGCATCCTAAAGGAACCAACGGTCTGTCTGTCAACTCTGATGCACT